AAATAATGCAATATGTCTACCACTATGTTCTTAACAGAGAACGCCCCACCCTCCTCCTTACCTGGTTGGGGCTGGAGTGCAAGGGCTGGTCCTGTTTCTTATTTTCTCTCTCAGGCAGCATTGCCCTGCCAGTGCCTTCTAAGCTTTAGAGGTCCTGCCAGGAAAATAGAAGGGAATTTTGAAAGAGAAAATTATGTTTGATGATTATGGAGACCCTTTCCAGCAACGAGATTCTATGATTTTTATAAAATCATAAGCTCAAAGTAATTATTTAAAATAATTTTAAGGGTCCCTTACATTATCAACAATTATTTCTTGAGTTTCTATACTAGATAGCTAGTCTCTAAGAGGTTAAAACCTAAAATTAAGCAAGTCTAACAGTTTTGAAGTTAGCATACTTATTTATTAAAACATTTTTCCTGCTTCTGTAGGTAATAAATACACTGAGACAAAAACAAAAAACAAACAACAACAACAAAACTTGGAAAACCTGAAAAGTGCAAAAGAAGAAAAATTACATATAATTCTTGCACCCAAAGATGACTCTTAACAGTTTTTTAACGGAACTTTTTTGTTTAGCAGTTTTAGATTCACAGCAAAATCAAGCAGAAAGTACAAAGAGTTCCCACGTTCCCCCTGCTCCCACACATGCAGAGCCTCCCCCATCAGCACGTTATCCACAAGATGGGACATCTGTTACAGTGGATGACCGCACATTGACACAACATACTCACTCAAAGTCCATAGGTTACATGGGTTCACTCTTGGTGTGGTACATTCTATGGGTCTTAACAAATGCATAATGACATGTATCCCCCATTATAGCATCATAAGGATAATTTTACTGCCCTAAAAATCCTCCATGCCCCTTCTATTTCACTTCTCAGCCCCATAACTCATGCCAATCACGGACCTTTTCACTGTGTCCATAGTCATGTATTTTCCAAAATGTCATATAGCTGGAATCATACAGTATACAGCCTTCTCAGACTAACTTCCTTCACTTAGCAGTAGGATTTCACATTCCTCCATGTCTTTTCCGGCTGGATAGCTCCCTTCTTTTTGGTGCTGAGTAATATCCCATTGTCTGGATGCACCACAGTTTACTTATGCATTCTCCCAATGAAACACATCTTGGTTGCCTCCAAGTTTTGGCAATTATGAATAAAGTTGCTATAAACATCCAAGTTCAGATTTTTGTGTGGACATGTTTTCCACCCATTTAAATAAATACCAAGGAGCATGGTTGATGGGTCTTATGGTATGAGTATGTGTAGTTCTATAAGAAATGGCCAAACCGTCTTCAGAGCAGACTTTTGCATTTCCACTGGTAATGAATGAGGTTTCCTGTTTTCCACATCATCACCAGCATTTGGTGTTGTCAGTGTTTTGGATTTTCCCCATTCTAACCGGTGTGCAGTGGTATCTCAATGTCTTACACTGTTAACATTTTGACATACCAGTATTTTTCCGCAGGATGTTTTCAAAATATTTATATCACCCATAAGGACTATGTCTTGCTAATTTCTTTCTTATGTGGCATAGAAGTGAAGAAGAAATTCAGGGAAAAAACTGATGACACCTAGAAGAATGAAACTGTCATTGAGAATAGGATTGTCATCTTCGTTTTGCTGTGGTCAGACAGGCAAAAAGATTTTGAGATGACATACATACAGTGAAGACTACTATGCAGTTACAAAAAGACTTGCGCTTTTCTTTCCCTCTGTACCTACTTATTTTTCACGTGTGATGTGATATAAAACAGTTTGTGGCAAATGCTTTTGAGAAACCATATCTATGCTGATAAGAACCTAATTTGGGATTCAATCATCATTCTTCAAATGTAATAAAGAAAAAAGAAGTGTAATAAAAGCTTGAGTCATCAAGCTTGATAAAACCAAAAAGTTTTAGTGGGGAGGGGATGGCTCAAGTGGTAGAGTACATGCTTAGTATGCATGAGGTCCTGAGGTCCTGGCTTCAATCCCCAGTACCTCCTCTAAAAATAAAGAAATAAACATAATTACCTCCTCCTCCAACAAAACCAAAAAGTTTTATCAACTAATGCTTAAGGATGGTAACAAAAATTAGTCATTGTTACTAGCATAGTGTGGAACTTTCAAGTTCTTTGGCATTCATTCATTCCACAAATATTAATTGAGTGTCTAAGTTATGCCAGATATTATGCTAAGTGCTAGGGATACAGCAGAGAATAAGACAGATGTAATCCCTACCCTCACTGGAAATACAGCCTAGACTAGACTAGAAAGTCCCAACAAACAGGGAATCCACGAAGACAGAAAGGAACGTAGCTTCTTTAGAGGAAATATCGACGGAGACCAATGCTAATGATCATGGAAGACCTTTCAGAGCAAGAAACATGAGCACTGAGTCCTGCCACACGAGCAACCATTGGAATGACAGGGAGAACATTGTTCTAGACAGCAGGAAAAGCAAGAATTAAACCTGTCCTAAAAATCAGATCACTAGGGTGGTGTGTACTCCATCAGAAGAATGACACCAGATGAGGACATAGCACGTGACAAGAGCAGCTCGAGCAGGATTTTGTAGGCCGTGCTAAGGAGCGTGAATTTTATTCTAGGGCATGGAGAAGCCAGAAACAGGGGTTTTAAGCAAAAAAGTGATACAATACGATGTAAATGTTATGCAATAACGCTGGCCACTTTGTGCAGAGTGGCTAGAGAGCAGCCAGAGCAGAATTTGGGAAGCCGTTGAGTGGTCTGAGCAGGAACCGATGCTGGAAGCCTCAGTGATGGAGGCAGAGAAGGCTGGATTCAACGCTGGGTGGGTGTGGGGCGCAAAACACACACCCACTGTTGTTTCTAAGATTTAGAAGCTAGTTTAAAATTTGACACAAAATTTGCTGATATTAAAGTATTAGCAAATCTGGGCAATTTTGTTCAAGAAAAGATGAGAAGATGCACAAAAAATAGAGGCTATCTATCAAGAAGGGCAGCACTTCTTGGCATGGGGAAGGTGTGGCTCCGTGGGAGAGTGTGTGCTCAGCATGCACAAAGTCCCAGCTTCAACCTCAACGCCTCCACCAAAGAAGCAAACAAAACTGACTACCTCCCTCCCCCCTCCAAGAAAAAATGTTTTAAAGGGCAGCTGATAGGAGGCATCCCAAATAGAATAATAGACTAAACCTAATTTGAATTGACTGAACTTTTCAAAGAAATAGAGTCTACGATTTTATAAATAAAACATTATTGAATGTTTTACTTATGAACACTTTTTTTCCACTAACCTGGAAAAGCAGTTGTTGGGAACACATTAATACTTCTGAATACGAATAAATGACTGTTATTTGTTACTAAAGTCAGAGCTGTCCAAGTTTCATTTTTCTAATTTAATTATTTTCATGTAATACCACAATAGTTCTTTATAATATTAGCCATAACCTTGAAGAGTTTTTTTCTGAAAGGTCTTGTGCCTTTCAGTTAACGTGGCTATGCAGGTGTATACAATCCTCAAGCTGCCTGTCTATATATACACGTGTGTGTATATATATACGTATGTATGTACCTGGGCAGTGGGCAGCTGGGAGGGTGTGTGTGTGTGTGTGTGTGTGTGTGTGTGTGTGTGTGTTGTGTGTGTGTGTGTGTGTGTGTGTGTGTGTGTGTGTGTGTGTGTGTGTGT